GCACATACAGTGATAGTGTCTAACAGCATATGGACACTATGGTGAATTTTTAGGAAGTGGGTGTGAGAATATGCTTACTGCAGAAAATCCCTCTTGCAAAATTCTTCTTCTGATGCCTTTATATTTCGGCTTCTGCATATTCTTTGGAGGTCTGTCGAAGGCAATTATAACTGACTTCCCTATGCGTATCAAATATACATGTACTGTGTGGGAAGAGCTCTAGAGGGGTGGAAAAAGCAAGCACCTTCATGTGCACAGCAAAACTCCTACCTTAGCTGTTTTTTAATGAAGCAGATCACATCTCTGAAGGAAAGTAATCAGCTGTTGGCGTGAAAAAGTCTGTTTTGTAGGACAGTTTAAGGATTTGGATCAAAAAAACACTCAAGAGATGGTTCCAAGGCAGAAGGACTTAAAAAGGAGCAGCTCTGAAGCCCACAGGGTGCATGTCAAATGTACCAGACTGCTGCTTGTGTAGGATTTTTTTTCAAGACTCTTGAGAGATGGAGTGTTATTTAAGTATTTGTTTAGAAGAATGCGTAGTCCACTCATGCAGGAGAGATTCCCATTCCGTTTTACAATGTTTCTATCCTTCTTGTTTACTTCAGTTAAACCCATAAACTGCCAATCAAAGCTAACAGAGAAACTAACAGCTGAGGGGAGAATTAGAAACCAGTGTTCAGCATGATCCCGAAATTTTTTTTTAGTGATTTGTAGCATCTTATGATTAGGCAGACTTCAACAGAAATAACTGCTTTTCCTGTTGGTGTGGAGAAAGGGACAATATTGAAGCATGGATGGGTGAAGAACACATGTAAACATGAGCAAAACTTGCATAAAAGGTAGTCCTTTAACTATGTTCTAGTAGTTTCCCATGGTGTGGGTTGTGGATGACACTTGCTTAATTCTTTTGCTTTTTCTAAAGCTTTTTGGGGAGAGGACTGAGAATACAAGTAAAAGGAAGAACGTGATTTTTAGAGTCAAAGTATTTTTGTCACTTATTCACTTTCAAGTGTGACCAGTCTGTCTTGCAGTCATCATCTTGCCATATGTATGTATGCGTGGTAAGTGGAACGTTTCATCTCTCGGTAACTGTTATAGCTCTATGCTGAAAATGCCTGAGAGTTATCAGAGTCTAGATAGACTCTTGAGCATAGAGACATCTTGGCTATTGCAGCTAGGGATGCTGACAGATGCTAACCAAAGAGTCAGTGTATGTGGGGAGAAAATTGCACATCTACCTTAGAAATTCATATTCTTGGATTAGTATTAAGGCAGGATTTGGAATAAGGCAGTGAAGCTCAAGCTGAGCTTGGTCCGGGCACAGTGGCTACAAGTCCCTGTGTGCCTTCTGTGAGGCTCAAACTCCCTTTGAATCCTCATCAGGCATGAGGGCTAATGAGTCTGTCTAGATATCTGTGCCACATCAGCTTTAGAGTTGTGTTTTGATGCCTGAGAGATAGGGGCATCTGAAAGGGTTAACTCAAGCTGCAAAGCACTGCCTAATTTTTACAGATGGTGTGAGCGCAAGAACGAACCTCAGACTGGCTTGGCAGTGCGCAGAGATAACTTTACATAATTCCCTGCAGATGTTGCTGCAGAATGGTTTTAATAATGAATTGTGAAGTTGAGCTCAACTCCAACATAGAGGGAGAACTCAAAATAAATGCAATGTTTTGTTCTGTTTCAAAAGCAAGTTTTCTAACAACGTTTCTGTGATGCTGTGGGTTGGGAAAGATAGCAGGGGAGGGGACAAGAGATAGTTTGTGCCATTATAGCCATGACTTTCTGCAAACAAAGGCCACTCTGGCTAATTTGTCTGCAAACCATGAACCCCCATGAACCTGGGAGTTGGGGGGAAAGGGTGATGAGACCAAATGGCAGCTGCCGTAATGCTTCTGATGAAGGGATGCTGCAGAGCAAGTGCTTCGTGATCAGCTGGGCAGGGTTCTGCAATTCGTGGCTGTCATGCATGGACTGCGTTGTGGAACTTGTCTGTGCTATAGCCATTTTCTGCTAGGAGCTTGTCAATTCTTGCACCATGCTGTAATTTCCTTTCTCTAAGGTTATGGCTCGGACGTGCCATCATAATTCAGATTTTTGCCTCATAAGGAGCGAGCTGCCTCTGCAATGTCTGCTCGGCCACTCAGAGACCTTGCCCGTTTTGCTTGTGAGCATCCATTTTTGACTTCTCTGCTGCTGGGGGGTGCTGCTGGAAGTTTCTCAGGCTTCTTAGTTGTTCAGGCTGTTTAAGTAAAACATACTTTCTTTTTCTGTGGACGTGCTATTCCAATGAGCTGCATTAAAGCCTTTCTTTTGTCCTTCTGAGAAGTGAGCTTGAAATGGGAGAATTGAATTCCAGGCCGGGGGCTGGTTTTCTCTGAACCTGGACAGATGCTGCTGCTTTCTCAGTAGGTATAGAGGCTTCTCATTTATTCTTTATCCTTGCACATAGTTTATAAAGGAAAGCTTTAGAAAGAAATTATAACTTTCATGAGCTCTGTGGCGATTAAGAGCTTTAATCTTAGTGATGGCTTGAAGAATCAAAGCAGAAACCTCGCTTAGACTGTTAAATGCTCTGCACACTGCAATGGATTTGGTTGAGTTACTTGACTGTAACCTACCTCTCGTGTGACTTGACCTCCAACTGGTACATGGGAGCCTGTTCGTAAGATCAACGGAGTCGTGAGGTTTCCCTGCCGATGCCTTTCAGGAACTGGGAATGGCAGTAGGGAGGCACGGCGATATGGGGGAGGCATGTGTATGCAGGCCCAGGCGTGGGGGTGAGGGGTTGCCTTTTAGCAGGGAGCCCTGTTTAGATGGATGGAGGCTCAGCTACCTTATGGCCCCAAACACAAGACTTAAACTCAGCTCTGAGGCCACAATGCAGCTCAGTGAGCCAAACTGGAGGAGCTGTGTTGTGAAATGGGCTAGCACTGGGTCGGCGTCAAGGCTGTGCGATCCAGCCCTCCAAAGACGGTTTTACCATGGTTTGAATTTGGCTCAAGCACGTGTTTTTAAGTGTAGGCAAGTCCTTTTTGCACGATTGTGTCTAATTTCTTTCTGAGGAAGAGTTTATATAAACTATTCCAGTCTAATTGATATCAGCTGAAAGCCAGCTTCTGACATTTTGTGCCTAATTATAAGTGTATGTTAAACTGTGTTTGCTACCCATGTCGATACGTTACTAGTAAAATAAGGAACAACCATGAAGGCATGTTTTTGAAACGGTCTGGCAGATCCTGCATGTTCACTGCTGTGGGCTTCGTGGCAGGAGAATCCACCTCCTGCTGAGGGGGAATAACTAAATTTAAACTTTCCAACCATGAGCCTTGTGAAGCGAAATTTCCAGACCTCTGCTGGGCCAGAAAATGGAAAGCCATGTCTGAGTTTTGAGAGTAAATAAATAGAGCTACCTAGCAGCTGTGTGGTGGCAAGTGAGGGGTTTGTTGCTTGGGGTACATTGTCTCCCAGCCACAGGCCCCAGGGAGGAAACCAAGGGTTTGTAACTACTGTCCTCTGGTAAAATCTTCTGTGACAAGATTTGGAACGAACTTGGGTGACTTTTAGTATGAACCCTGGAGCATTGCTTCAGCTAGGTTTTTTTTTTTTTCTTTCTTTCTTTAAAGAAAGTTGCATGTTGCATGGTGGCAGAGCCCAGCGAAGCCTCCCTTCCCCTTGCTGGGCCCAGGGCTGTGGCCTCCCAGCTGCGGGAGGCCTACGTGGCCCTTGCACAACTTGGGGCTTTGGCCCATGATAAATTAACTAGGGTTTTTTTTGTGCCCAATCTATTTACAGACCAAGCTGTCTTGTGCCTGCCTTTGCTCATCACAGGCAGGCTTGGGAGTCTCCTGTGAAATTTGTTGGGTTTATGACAGCCACTAAAGTCTGTAGACTCTTTTGAGGTGCACGTACAGAAATAACTATTTCCTCAACTCCCTTTGGGGAGGCTGAAGGACCGGTGTTGAATAGTTTGCATTGTTCTGACAAAGCAACTTGCATTTTTGAGGGAGCCTGGGAGATTGTAGGAAAAAATAGAAATAGTTTACCTGCTTGGCTTTTTATTGTCCTGTATCTTAACCCTGGCGTTACCTGAATGGAGCAGAATCTAGCTGTCTGCATATCTGAGAGCAGCAAGCTCTTGGGTGAGTGAGTCTACATCAACACCAGTGGAGGATTCAATAAATCAATGTAGCCAAGCAAGAAAAGAGGCAAGGATAGTTATGGTTGTGATGCATTTAACCTAGAGATGTCTCACCTGTAACTTTATTCGACCATCCATGGATGTGACCTAAAGATAATATCCATTTAGTTGGTGAATACTTAACATTTTCATAGATAGTGGTAGAAACTTGAATGATCAGGTGGGAGGACAAATAACTGGTGCTTATGGCCTGAAGTCATGTTTTAGTTAGCTTTTCTCTGCTATTTCTGTTCTGTGCAGTACTTTCCAGGGCATTGAATTCAGGTCATGTTTGTTAAACACTGGCTGTAGTGACAAGTGCTCTAGAAGCACTTACTATTTTGTATCCTCTTCTGAAATCTGTGCCCTTCTAAAATATTTCCATCTTTTGACTTCTGTGATACATCATGTTAGGATTTGAGCAACATTTGTGCTATTTCTCGTATGTTCACATGCACATATATACACATATGAACTGTTTTGATACTGTAGATGTACATGTTTCAGGACTTGTTTTGAGAAACTGAATTTGAGAACTCAAATCAGAGTTGTCATGGATAAACTTCAGGTTTCTTAAAATAAACTGATGTGTGCTCCATTGAAAACTTTTTTACATGAAGCCTGCCTGCAAACTCATTTCTCACTGTTGAGAGTATCTGACAGAAATGGTATAATAGGACTAAATCCCCTCTCCTTCTAGGAGGCTGAATAGGAGGAGAGTAACTCAAACCTTCACCGAAGCTGCTGACTCTGTGCCGCCTTCTCAGTAGCATCTTGCTCCTCTTAACATTGACTGAGCAACTTTTACTTCTTTTTGTAGGTTGGTGGTTTGTGAGCACAGCAGAGGAGCAGGGCTGGGTCCCTGCTACATACTTGGAATCCCAAAATGGAACCAGAGATGACTCTGATATCAACACATCCAAACTTGGCGAAGGTATGGAAATCTTTTTGTTATCAAGGAGAAACTGGTATTCACTTGCTTTATGCTTTTCCCCTGCACAGGAAAACTTCGAAAACTCTTGCTGGCACTCATGGCTGTTAATCCAGTGTAGTCACCTCTTCTCCCATCTGTAAATAAATTGTTGCAGAAGAAATTGAAGTACCATGCCTGTGATCGCTTTGTGACCATCTAGGGATGTCAGTGTGACAAAAGGTCAAAAGCTGAAATGCTGCTCATTTTAATACCCCTAAAAAGCATACAAACAACTTATGTGCAAGTCCAAGCAGTATGTTCTGGTAGAGGTCTTGGACTGTCATGTCCGTGGAAGGAGAGAATTTGCATGGCTTGTTTGCAGAAATTACACAAGTGAGAGCGTTTAATTGGAAGAAGATGCTTGTTAGAGCCACAGGCCATTAAAAGGAGTGAGATTTAACTTTAATGGCTGCTTCTCATTACAATTTTTTTTAATTAATCCTTGAAACTAGTTTCACTGCTGTTTGCTGTGGTCTATGATTGTGTGGAAAGGTAATTTTATTTGGTGTGGTCTCATTCTATTAAAACTGAGATGCCATTTGTCATGTATATGTACTTAGCTGCGCTCATTTTTGGCTAAAGATGCTTAATTCAGCTTCCAGAAGTGGAATAGTACAACCTCACATGTTCCTCTGTTCCATTATGAAAGACTAACCACATCTTAATGGACTTCTCATGTAGCAACTGTGTACAAAGGACACTTTTATTATGATTTGCTCCATTCTAATGAATCTCTTGCTAAATTTCTAGGTGCTCTTGACGTGACACTTATGTAAAATGTATGTGGAAACTCAGCTGGCCTTTCCTTAGCACAGGCAGGAGGCTTAGAGAGGTGTCGGGGTGACCATCTGCCCATTAAGATAGCACACAGGCAAAACATAACTTTGTGCTGGGCCCCAAGGGTGACATCTGTGGCTTATTGAATTCTTTGGCTCTGTAACTCATTTTTCTCTGCTCAAAGCTACCCATATCCTGGGTCACTTAGGGTTTAGAGACAGACTGGCTGTAGACTGGTAGGCCAGGAACCAGTGTGGTATGATGCAATATCTTAGCGGATGCAAAAGCAGTTAGTAAAGTTTCCCTGTTAGAAAGAACAAAAACTTACTGCTCTTTTCTGAAAGAGTTGAAGAATGCCTTGTCTGTAGCTTCCTCCCTTTTCCTGACTCTTAAATATGGTGCATGCTTGACAGCCTTATTGCTTAAACTGCTTTCATTTCAAGCTGTCCTCTGCCTTTCATGTTGCCCTCTGGAGCATACTCTGCACAGGGCTGTTGCCACGCAGCAATCTTTCCTGGGTAATGGAAAATCCATCTTTCCTTATCTTTTTCCTCTGAGTCTCCTTTAACCCATTTCACTGCTCTCCTCAGCTATGGTCAGCAGTCGTGCTCCTTGCCTTACTCCAAATCCAGATACACTGAAACCTGAGACTGTTCTTCCCTTTCTGTTCAGTTCCATCTCAGTGACAAATCTAATTGCATTAACTCCACAGCTGCTTTGATGTGCCCCAGCTTTTGGTTGCTTTTCAGTAACTTTGTTTTATGTTATTAACCACATAAGCTGAGACTTTTGTTCTTTGTTCCCCCCCCTTCCAGTTCTTCTTTACTTGGGCTTTTCTTCTCCTAATAGTTATTCCATAAGAAAGAACAACTCAGATTCACTCTCTAAAAGAGAAGTATATGAAAGTGAATATACTTACACAGAAAACTTGCCAACTGTCTCTCAGTAGGCAGGAGAAGGGGGCTCCAGTATAACTGAGGAGGAAGGCACTTTAAGTGGATTAAGTGCCCTAGCCTCTGGATTTTAGAGTTCATACAAGTTTCAGAGTGACTCCTGGAAATGTTGACCTCCTGCAACTGTGCAATCTGTGCTCTGCCTAATTTGAAAGGGTAGAAACACTCATGTAGGGAGCTTTCTGTATCAGCCTCTTGGCCCTCTCCATTTGCAGCTGGCCTGGAACAAGTCCACAAGCCAGGCAGACCCAGAGGTCTGCTCTGCTGTGGCAGGCCCTTGTAAAGATAAGGAGGTGCTGAATGCAACTTACTAATAATGCTGCCTCTACATAGCAGTAGTATTTCCATGTGTCTCTTTAAATAGCCTGTTCCCTGAGAAAGACAGAAGTGTTTCCTCCCTGCATCTGAGCCTGCACAACATCTTTTGTCAGAATGAGGGTAGACAGTCGACTGCTACCTAGGCCTGTGTTTAGACCAACGCCATCTTACAAGGCTTGGAGAACATTCAGAAATCAATCTAAAGAAACATTTGCAGCCACAGGAGCTGTTAAAGTAAACATCTTAAAATGGTCTCTGGAAAGGTTTAGACTCTTGTTGATAAATAACCTTTCTGGTGACTAACTGTGGCATGACCAACCAAGTCGAAGTCTGGGATCAAATGGCGAAATTCAGTATTGCTGAGGAGAAAAAAACCTGACTTACACAAAAGCAGCATTGTGATATAAAAGGGCTATCACTGGGGATAGTCATATGTTGTGAGGTGGACACAGCGTGGTGGATCTGTGTGATCTACTGTGTTCACCGGGTGCTCCTGGATGGCTGAATCCTCCTAACTCCTGGTGTGAGCAGGGAGCTGTGAGTGACTGCTCTGTGTTGACACCTGAAGCAAATTTCTGCCCCTTCCACACCACTCTTGACTGCAAGCCCTTAAGTTCAACATCTTTCATTTCCTCCCTTCTTAGATATAGAAACCTCCTAATGCAGGTAGCCTGACTGTGAATTCAGCTTTAGCTTCTCTCTCTGCTATAATCTGTATGTCTAGTGAGGTGTCCTGTGTTGCCTCTTGTGTAGCATGTGTGTAACTGGCAGTCTAATGTCCTGTTCATTTGGAGAAAGGCACCAGGTTAAACCAGTTCATAAGAAAAACATTACCAGTAAGGAGTGAAGACAGCTCATCTTCTGTGCCACCATGGACTTCCAAGAGGATCACTGATTTCAGTTAGCCAAAAACCCAGTGATCTATAAACTTGAAATCCGGCTCCTCTGAAAATTTGTGGTTCTTTGGCATGGGATCAAAGAGGAAGTACAGAGTACCATGAACTAGACATTGTGTTTGTTCAACACCACTCACCACATCTCGATTTAGGGTGACTAGGGAAGGTTTAGGCCTTATAGCAAAGGGGAAATTGAGAGAGTAAGCTGGCTGCAGAAGTCTGGTCTAAGCCCTGGACAGATATAAAGGGCAAAAAGGCAAAAGCTGTTTTGGGGAAAGCTATTAATTTTTTCACTTGTTCAGCTAATCATTCCCCAATCAAATAATTTTGCTGTACCTTATTGCCTACAGAACATAGTTCTAAAAGTCTGCTCTCATGAGTATAAGGATGTATTCCCCAAATGAGTGTATGTAAGCTGAATTGAGTGATTAATAATGATGTGATATCAGAGTTTGTGGACAGCTTCCCAGCATCACTAGCAACACAGTTGTGTTTGCACCTTAGTGATAGCTAAAGTGTAGTATTTTGCATTGCTTTGTGGCAGCACCAAGCACCCTTGTAGAATCTGCCAAACCAGCGTGGAAGCCCTTGAATGGAAAAAGGGAAGTGTTTGTCTGTGTTTCTGTGCCAGTCCAATGGTTCCTGTGTCATTCACACCTTCACAAGCAGAAGAAGGAACTGAGTACAGTTCTGTGTATGCGATCCAGAAAATAAGTGGTGTCCTCTGTGCACAGCTGCTCTCACAATGCCATTTCCATAGGTGTCTTGTCTTTGTTTATATTTTAAGCATAAATTGCTGTTTCAGCATGTAACTAATTTTTAGTTCTGGCTTGTTAGCTTCTTGAGCCTGCTCAATAATTGTGAGGTTAGGTTTTTCCTTATATTTTTAATCAGTATATTAGAAGTTTGGATCATGAGAATTAGCTGTGGCAGTGATTTTGAGTCATGTGTTGCAAGCAAGGAGACATCAGACACTTTTCACTTGGGTTTTGTTCCTTAGTGCTGCTGTTACAAGTGAACTTATATATAAGAAGCTGCCTTTTGGTTTTTTTCTGACGATTTAGTTTATAGTTGATAATTTGCTTAGAGAGGGTTAGAGCCCTGATGGGTTTGATGTCATGTGCAATAGACTGAATTCTCCAAAGATCATGCAGCCTAGCTAGTAGGTGCTACAGCAATGATGTTGATCTGTCCTGCTACTGCAGCCTCCTTAGACAAGTTGTCATTGTGCAGCTTGTTTTGGGGTGTATGTATGTCTTTGGGTTTGGTTTTTTTAAGGAAAGCCAATAGTAAGAGTGGCAATTTGTGACAGTTCAAGATGGTTCATGTTGCTCAGGCTCAAGAAGCTAACTTGTTCCACTGTACTATAAAAACTAAAACAAAATGTCTGCATCCCACCTCCTGCTAACAAGACCAGTGCTTGTAAATGTCATGTTTTGTTTTTATTCCTCACCCTCCCATTATTTTTTTTCCTTTTTTTTCTTTTTTCCATCCATGTTCCAAACTAGTTTCTAAGCGACGCAAGGCTCACCTGAGACGCCTGGACCGGCGATGGACGCTGGGCGGGATAGTCAACAGGCAGCAGAGTCGAGGTGAATTAATAGCTTCCTATGGCACCAACCCCTAAGGGTGCACCAAAAGCCATGCTGTAGCTTCAGCTGTTGTGCGCCAGGGTCTGCACCTTTGGCACTCTGGTAGAGAGAGGCCAAAGCTCCAGAGTTCAGATGTGGATTTCATACCTGATAGCTTAAGAGTGTCTTGGAGCCGGGGTTAGGCACCCCAAGAGCTGGAGGCTAATAACCAAGGGTAACTCTGTAGTCTGACTCCTTGTGCTGCTTGGGGAAGCTCACATCTGTTGTGTTTTAACTTTGGGCATATTTGTACTCAGTCTTTCCTACCTCAGTAAGGACAAGTGATACTTTCAGGGCTATTAAAATGAGAAGAATGCCAAAAAGCCATGGTCAGAGATGTGCGCACTGGAAAAGTGCTTGGTGTGGAAAGATGAGAATCATTCCAATTTCAGTCCCCTCTCCCTTGCAAGCAGTGCTTGGTACTAAAGACAGACTACTTCTGAACTTTTGGGAACTTTTGGTGTCAGTCCAAGGTGTTTAAAATGCCACCAGTAGCAGCTTTTTTTTGGTTTTTGGCTTTGGTTTTTTTTTGCTTTGCTGGTCTGACAGGGAAGCGTGGTAGGGTAGAGGGAACACCTTGTGTTCTGAAGCTGTGTTTGGGTGAAGTCTGAGGAATCTTCCAAACCAAGCATTTCTCCAGTGCATGTGAATCGTCTTTCCCCGAGTAAAGATACCACTTTCTATCTCCTCCTCCCCTTCTTGCAAGATTGTCCAGATATTTTCATTGCACTTTAAAAAGGAAGGAGGTGGAGGGAAGCACCATTTGCACCTCTGTGTAACTTTCAGACAACCTTACTGAGAGGATGGAACCAAATGTAAGCACAAAAGCTTTCCCAGTTTAGGAAAAGGTGCCTTTTCCTACCAAAGACAGAATGTACTTTTAAAGCAGCAAATTTATCTTCTGGATTTGGTGGCAGTTCTATGTGCAGACTCATGTGTGTGTCAAGCACATAGAACTTTTCAGTGACCTTCTACCTTTGCCTGAAAGTATTGTTGAGGAAATCAAAATAACAAGAGGGTCGTTCTTCCTACTGTAGCTTGACCCTGCAGCAACTGGAACTACCCTTGGAAGACAAGGTCTTGCTGCTCAGTCACCAAATACACCCTGGAGGCATTAAAAAAAGAACCCCAAACCCATAAGCACACATGCTGGCTTGTGAAAAAGCGCTTGTGCTTATTTCTGTACATCAAGACTTTGGGAGCTACTTATTTTGCATTGTCAAACTGCCAGATGCTTCCTGGCAATTTAACTGAGAGAATTTCTGGGAATCAGTTTTCTAAACAATTTGTTTACTAGTTTGAACAAATACATCCTTTCGTATCATACCACACTGCAGACGAAGCTCCCTAAAATATTAAGACTGCATGATCAGTCCCTTAGCATAGTCGACTGGTAAGACTCAAGGACCTAAGTTGCATTCCCATGTTTTCCCTCTTGCAGTCTTATGCCCACCATCTGCGTGCATATTCTCCAGACCTGCTGTCTGACCAGCGTCACAGTGTCTTCCCTGGCAGTCTTCCCCACCACAGGCTCCCCTAGTCTCTTCCATCCCTGCCTTTTTCTTTCTCCATAGCAGTTTCTTCCCTATTAAGCCCAAGCAATGCTGGGTTTTTGAGTGTGTTAGAGAATATGTGCTTTATCTCAAACTAAATCTTGGCACTTGACCTTGGCACAAACTGCAGCATCTCAAGGTTTCGGGCACCCTCTGTGGCTGAGTTGCTTCTGTAAGTTCTCTCCAATGCATTTCAGCAACAGCTAACCAGGCTGGCTAGAAATGAGCTATTTAATGTAATCTGAAATACTAGGTTAGGGGAGTCTTACAAGAGCAGGCTCATTGGAAGTAAAGAAAGTAATTGAATGCTTGGGGACAGGTTGGCGACAGTGGCTTCATCATCTGGCGTAGCTGTAGCCTGTACAGACATCTATGCCTTCCAAACTGTAGTACTTGTTTAAAGTATGAGTCTGGGTGTCCAGTCCGCTGATCTCTAACAGATCACAGTTTATGTTAGGTCAAGAGAGATTCTTTCTCCTTTCTTTCCCTCCCATCCCAGCCCAAAAGACTTCTAAGAAGGCCAAATTTGGGTGGGTTTGCACTGAAATGACAGAATACATGAAGTGTACACACACATCCCCCTGCCAACCTCAAGTCCCTGCTCCAAAGCACAGAAGAACTAGAGCTGCTCAAACAGGGGGCTGCCAGAATTGTTCAACACAGGCAAAACAGCTTCCCTTCCCCCACTTGGCCTCTTCCTTGGAAATAAATTCAATTAAACATTTTGGCTGAAATTCTTCCCACCCAGCGATATTCTGCTTGAGATAGTCCCTGCTGTTGGAAGGGTTAGCTCCAAGAGTTCACTGGAGTTTAAAAGCAAGCTGTAAAGGATGCTTCCCTTTATATTTATGCTTGGGTACCACTAATAAGCATTTTTACTAACTAGGTCTATGATAGAATCACTTAAAAGCCAGAGCTGAAGGAATTAAGTATTGTTTCTGAAGGCCAGGATTTTCTAAGTGACTTGTATGTTAAAAACTCTGGGAAAGCCTAAGTGCAGTAGGGAATGGTGTCTGCTTCCCTGTTACGGACTGCCTAATGGGGGGGAATTATCAGGGGTAACATATGGCTTATTTATTTCTACGCTTTCAAAGCCATTTGAAGAGGCTAAGTATCTCTGAACTTCAGATATTTGGGAGCAATATTACTGGGTCTGTGAGTAAGAAACATGAAAGACAAATTATTGAATATCATGGTAGTGCTCCTTTTTTAAAGTGGAAAAAAATCTGCCAAGAGAACAGCTGTAGTCTGTTTTTACAAAGAGAAACAGATGACATTTGTTGCTGAACTTTTCTCTTTAAAATGGTCCATGGTGTGCCCAGATCTAAGAGATTACATTGGTTTATGTTTCTTATGTAGCTGCAGAGCTTGGGGTTTTTTTAAATGTTAAATGTTTTTAAATGTGGTACATTTTCTAAACTTTTGTCTATACATTATGAAATTCCAATAATACAAATATAGATTGTGAGAAGCCTGAATGTTTGTAGTTTTCCTCCATCCTGACACTTGTTAGACCTGCAAGCTGCACAGTTCATGTTCTCTTGTACCAGGTAAAATGCTAATTCTACACATGCATTTATTTGGAACTTCCCCTGGAAGAGGACTTAGGATTGTTTATAGGCTAATTTCATGAGAAGTCACTTGTGCTATTTCAGTTTGATTGGGGAAAAGTGGGGGTTTACATGCCTGTTTTATATGCCAGATATCTGACGTAAGTTATTGCTGCTTTGGTTTTGTGCCCAACGCTTTCAACTGGAGCTGTTACAATGCAGGAAAAGTACCTTAAAGTTATTCATATCAACAGTATAGTGACATGGGCTGAATTTCTGCCATATGAGCCTATTATTTCAGAGTAGATGCAAGCACAAGAGGTAAGCTATTCAATGAAAGAGTTAAAGTTAGAACTTGGAAGCCAGAGGTCTTCCTACTGCTTGCCTAATTTAGGGAGAGAGGGAGCTTGATGGGGAGAGATGGACAGGGCATAGAGGGAAGGCAGCTGTGTAACCCAGTGGTCTTGATACTTGAATGCCATCTCCTAGCCTGGGTGGGTCGTTCTGCAGCCAGTTTTCTAGCTGTGGAAAGAGCCCTTGATCAGTATTAGTAATGCAGCCTGGGTGGTGTGCTCGAGCACTCTTACCCTTTCCTGCATCCCACCAGAGCTGCTCTGCCCTTTGCGACTTTTCCCTTTGTTTTCACTCTTTTTCCCTGCTTGTCCTTGATGCTGGTGAAATGCTTGTCACTCACAGCACAAGGCTGCTTTGCTGTGCTAAATCAAACCAGCACAGAGCAGCTTCAGACTTAGTTTGTTCTTTCTTTTCTCCCCCCCCATGCTCTGTGCTCCAAGAAAGTAGTAAATGTTTATTGCCCCTTGCTGGTTGAAGAAAGAGCATGTGCAATACAGAACTGTTTACAAGAAATGTCATTATTGTTCTTTTCTGTCTGTTGGCATGAGGTTTTCTGGGGTTTTTTGGGTGGTTTTTTTTTGGTTTTTTTTTGTTTTTGTTTTTTTCAAAAAGGGAGCAGGGGGGGAACAGGACAAAGGCTGAAGAGCTCCTGTCTGCAGATGAACACATTTGATAACTGTGGACAGCTAGTTTCTCTGCTGAATATTTAGACAAGTAAAACAAAGTCCATGTTGAATTAATGCATTGCTTTCTGGAACAGAGAGACTTTTTCCAGAAGCAGGTCTGACAAAGGGGGGGTGGAGCGGAGGAGTGGGGGAGGGCGAGCTCAGACTGCTGACTGAGGGGAAAGTATTTTGAAAGAAAATTCTTCTGTGGTTTGGAAGATGTAGGGTTGGGGCTCTTGTATTTTGCTGAGAAATCGTTAATTGGATAATTCCTAGCCCAGTTCCCCCCTATCCCCACCCGTACCGGCATATCAAACAAGGATGGGGTCACAGAAAGTTGGGGGCATGTACAAACACGAGCTGAGCAAAGGAAATTACTCCCTTACTTGGTTGGCTCCTGAAGTGCTGCAGATAACTTCCACGCTTATTTATGGAGGCAGAAAAAAACAAACTTATAAAATATAGGTGAAGGAGAGGTATGCGAAATGGAGCGCTCAGAACTTGGAAGCAGAAACGTATGAGTGCTGGCCATTTGCCTGGGAGAGATGAGACTGATTATGCAGGGCTGGAAACGTGCACGGTATTTTAGCTGCTTAAAGGCAAGGTTCCTGTCCCAAATAGTTTACAGCCTAAACAAAGAGAAGGAGATCTGTGCGTCAAAGGAGCCTGGGCAAGTGGCAATTTGGCATGCATCTTATTATGACCAAAGGGTTTTTCACAGTGGAAAGTGATATTTATTTGGTTTTTTTAAAAGCTTTTAGAGAAGAGTTAAAACTAAACTTGTTTGGCAAGGCAGGAAGTCAGGGTAGGTAAGGCTTATTTTAGGAAGGATTTGAGAG